TTTAATCATCTCTAGAACTCATTATCTTGAAGGTCTTTTAATTAACATGAGTCAGTTTTTGGGTCTGCCAGCCAACTATCCTATGTCTGTCTTATTGTGACCATCTTCGGATAGAATTGTGTGAATCTTTTCGTGGAACTGAATTGTCTTGATACCAACTATTCAAGATTTGTTGCGTGGGGTGGGGCTGGTTAATATAAAATCTAAACTAATTGTGTGAATTGTGTGATACCAATTCTATTCAAGAATTGTTGTGTGAGGCAAGACTGGTAAAAAAACATCTGAAACAAAGTTTGGATGAAAAGGATGAAGAGAGCCTACAACTAGCATGGGTATTCTAAACTTTTTAGCACTTCTAAAATCAACTGTCAGATCAACATTCTTTTATTGTGTTCGTGTTCAATATCTGCAATGTAGATGATTTGGGAAGTACAAGTGAATACAACATGAGCTCAAATCCGTCATGGAGGACAATTATGGAATTAGTTGGAACGATAATGAAATGGCCCCTGCTATTGGACCAGTATTTTATGCGATAATGGTGTTATTACTACCATAAACGTAGATGGCCTAAATTTGACAAGCAAATTAGAGTCTGTTATATTTAGTGATATAGACGCGCTTACAACAGTTATTCTGGGGCACAATCAGTTTTATGGTCAATTCCCTTCATCACTCACTTTATGGGGGGGATGGGGGAGGGGGTGGGGGAAGGGCTTCGGGTACTTGATCTTTCCTTTAAAGACTTAGAAAGACAAATTTCAAGTAGCCTAACCAGCTAAAGAATCTGGATTTGAAGAGAAACAATTCTCCTGCGCACTATCGCAACTTTCACTTAACGGTATTACATTATTGAATATTTTAAACAATTTGAAGCGTTGGGGAGGAATACCCTAGTCCATATCAATGTGGTAAGCCTAGACTCCCACTAATCCAGTCATCACAAGTCCCTCTAATTCAGTAACCACTACTTTCACTTAGAGGTATTACATTATTGAATATTTTAAACAATTTGAAGCGTAGACTTCTAGTTTACTAACCATTAGATGGACGACGACGACGACGACAACAACAACAACAACAATATTAGTCTGATAGACTCTCGGCTCCCTTCCTCCAAAAACTCCCACCTTGCTTTAGGGGTGACTCGAACTCACAACCTCTTGATTGGAAGTGGAGGGTGCTTACCACTAGAGCAACCCACTCTTATCTTACTAACCGGAATAAGACAAATATGACAACAACAATCATATTAGTCATCGTTGGTCTTCTTGTATTGGTTGGCTTCTGTTTGCAGTGGAATTCGATTATTAACGATATAGTTGAGCTCCCAGTTTTTAACGATTAAATTGATCACGAGTTCTAACATTTACTGTTTTGGTAATTAGGTATTCTCTAGTGTTGTTCTTGTTGCAGTTTGTTTGGTGTGTTTAAATTAACAATGTAATATTTTTCAAGCCTGCTATTTATAGATGTTCTCTAATGTTGTTCTTGTTATGGTTTCTTTGGTGCCTTTAAATTAACTATGTAGTATTTGTGGGAATATTTCTCAAGCCTTCTATAAGTTAGTAGCATATGGCTTAAAGCAAAGGGCGTATTCAGGATTTTAAGATCATGGGTGTACTATTATCTTTAAAATGGGTGTTTGGTTCGATTATATAAAATTTTATTATGACAATAAGTTGACAAGAAAAATATATTAATATTATATTCACAAAAAAACATTATTCACTTTACAATTGTCCTCGACGAGTTTTCATACTTTGAAAACGATCGATAATAGCATCATTAGTTATATTTTAAATATCTTATGCTCTATATAGCAAACTAAACATCATTTAATAAATCATCGTCCATCCTATACGTAGATCATTTTTTATGTACTTCATTGATGAGAATGCTCTTTCCACCCTTGCGGTAGCAACATGTATAAGCAAAGTCAGCTTCACAAGTAAATAAATAAGTGGCCAAGTAATATTCAATCTGTCACGACCCAAAATTCACGTGACCGGCACCCGGCACACTATCTAACCCGAGTGAACCAAACCATGTGATGCACCCAAATCAAATGCATGAAAACCAATTTAATTGCGGAAGCTCCTTGAAAATCATATATATTTTCAAGTTAAATGATAAAATATTTTCCAAATCAAAATCACACATGATGTCTTTCATGATATTAACAATGAGACTAAGTAAAAGAAATATACTTTCATGTATGTCGTGTACAACTCCGTTACTACAACCTTTCACAACTATCTATGGAGCCTATATACCAAAGAATAGAACCAACGGTTGGAGTAATTCCAACAAAATAAAATAAGGAAGAACATGATAACTACCACGAAATAAAAATGGTGCTTCATAATACCTCGGAAAGAGAGTCATTCTGGCCTAACCGTATGCGACGTATCATACATCATCCTGAAACATGTAAAGTAAGCAGGGCCCTGGAAGGGGGCCCTTAAGGACTGAGTACACAACAACGGTACTCAATAAGTATCATAGACTCTCTCTAACTTAAGTTCTTGGGATAAATTTTATAAAAATAATGCACCAATATTTGATATAAACCGATAAGAAATTTTATCAATTCACGACCCTTGTTATTTCAAATAACAACCAAGTTAGATATAACCCACAATATAAACTTTTAAAAAATTTACATCAATCCAAGATTTTGGATAAAATCGTACAAAATCATTCCATTTTCTTTAAGTTATCGAAATTACTTTTGGCTCCTTAGGCCTAAACATAAGAAAATCATCCTTACCTTTCGCTGGTAGTACTATACCATCACCGACATAAAAGGGTTAACTAGGTTATGTACCTAAAAGCAAGTATCATATACCCTACTTGCTCATGTCGTCTCATCGTAGTACCGTATGAATCGACTCAGTCATGCTAATAATAGCACAAAATAGTACTCTCTCGGGGGAGAACACTCTACTGTAGTCTATACCACAAAGTGGCCATCTACGCCTACACCGGCACGCGTAGTTTCATGACAACGAATGCGATATATCCTAAGTCAATCTCGGTGAACATAAGTAACTCCCAAAATATTTGATACTTCAAAAATAAATTCATAGCATAGTAGCCTCAAATGATCTATTTTTATCAAATCATAGCATTTATAGTAAATCCAAATCATTTGAACAAAATTTAAATAAATAACCTTTTACATGCTAAAGTCTTTAGCAATTTAACATCAATCTTTAAAAGATACCACAAGTGCTATTTTGTTCGTCAATTTTCAAAAGAAATACTTTCCATGAAAACTTATCTTTAGCACTCAAATATGTATACTCTTGTCAATACGTAAGTTTTGATAAAAACTTATAACATTTACCTTGAGTGTCACTTTTCCAACAAGATTTAAAATAAAATTTTATAAAACGACATGACACTACATATGCAATATAATATTCTAGTACGTGGAGACATCCGTACTTGTTTATCCCCACAAGCACGAAAAGCATATTTGCAAACAACTTAAGTATTAACTCGAAACATACTTTTAGAGAAAGTCCCTCAAGAAGAGTAAGTTTTAATCAACTTACCTCGCTTTCGCTTTATTAACATTCACAAGCTCTCAATATTCCTCCATTATTCCAATGTTGATTAAAATGCTCAGCATCACCAACAAGTCGATATCTACAATTAGATATCCTAATTATATCAAAATATTACCTAAGATATAGATCAACATCCATATATGGCTCACAAGTTGGCTACAAGCCTCCAACAAACTCAAATCGCTAAATGGTTTTACATGTTAGACCATTCAACTTCATTCTTATGTTTTAATACCCATTCAAAGTCATTAATGATACTACATCAATTGTCTATTGCCACCACGTTACTATTCATCGTCTTCCATAATCAACACTAGCAAAATATACAATTCAGGTGATTACTTAGTTAATCACTTCCATCTTTTGCTAACAAATAATTCCATATGTTCATCGTATTCATAAATTTCATCGTCAAGATTATCATTCATCTTCTCCCTTATTTTCTCAAAAGTACTATTCATGCCATGAACTAGAGTTTTATAATCCAATCTTTCAACCATTAAAACTTGTAACAAATGCTTCAAATACTTCTAATTACTCATAATAAATGAGTTTGAAGTATTGGAATTACCTCTAGTAGATTAATCTTGAAAAATCACAACTTTGGTGATTTTTGTGTTCTTGGTGATTTGATGAAAAAAATCTAGTATTTGGATGTAAGAATGATGTTAGAACTCATGTATATTGAGTAATAATCAACCCAAAACATCATTAACAACTTACCTAGGTTGATTGAACTTGATTTGAGCTCAAAATCGCCCCTTCACTTTAAGAACCCTAACCCACAAATACACAAAATACCCTCTTCCCCCGATTTTGTATTTATAAGCCCAGAATTCTGGGTTTCGGATGCGGCCCTATATGCTTCGCATCCCCACTTCACTCCTCTTTGAAGTTTGAATGCGGACTTGGACGCTATGGCAACACTTCACTGCCAGCCTCTCTTTCGGACACGGCCTCGGATGCTTCGCATCCGCAGGCTCCTCTGCCAGCCTTTGGCAATTTGGTCATAACTTCTTGTAGGAATGTCCAAATGACAAACGGTTTGAAGCGTTAGAAACTAGACTCGAAGATATTGTATTTGATAGGTTTTACATCATATGACCATTTATATATATGTAGATATACCTGTCCAAAATTTGGCCTGATGCGTACTCATTTGGAACTTTAGTCTATCATGTAATTTCCAACTTGACTTAGATTTAGGGCTCTCCTTAGACCCCACATCACTTATAATATACCTCGTACACTTATTATCATATCTAATTAATATACATCATATTAATAGTCCTTGTCTGCACACAAAATAATATAATTAGCGTACATCAACTTTCTTAATAACGCTTAAGTATTTCAAAATTTTCCAGGGTTCTATACACTATCTTGTCTCTATCATCACTCTAGCAAAATCCGTAATTCCCTTCAGGTTGAGAAATCTGCTATCACACTTTTGACCATAGACAATGAAACTATCAAGTTGAAAATGAGTTCTCGAAGCTTGTGATTACCAAATTCACTTGGATAATACTCTGTTAACTTCATTATCTTTTCCTTGTCAAAATTAGCAAATGAATCATCCGGACTTAAACTGGCCATATCAAGTAGTAAGTCAGTAGTCACAATATCAAAGCGGGCATTCATCTCTTGAAGTTCCAAATCAATAACTGCACAAAATACTTCAACAGAAAAGTGATGTAAATATGAAACTTCAAACCTCTTACGCTTCGACTTTCCTATAGTATAGTCTTCATCCATTTGGAGAATTATAATATCATGTTTACTACAAAATGAGCATACCTCATCCAACAAAGAGTCCCATTTAGTTTCTCTCATTATTTGCAATCTTTCTTTGCAAGGTCAAGCATTCCCATAACATTAACAATATCTTGATATTTCTTTTGTAAAGCTTTGTTCAATTCATTTGTAAATAGTAAAACCTTAAACATCAAGTGCAATATAAAAATAAATCCATATTAAAGATTCCCCCTTGCAAATCTATCATGATGATATGGACACTCACGCTTCATATCTTTATTAAAGGAAATGAAACCATCAAATTGTCAAAGATTTTAAAATGAGACCCCCAACAAGTATCACCCGGTCGTTGGAGGCCACGTTCGTGATTCAAACCTTGTCCAGTATAAACTTCTCTAAAGTTAAGCACCTCTTCCAACTTAGCTGCTTGATGATGTCGAAGAGACTCCATGCGATTAAATGAAGATTCAATAGTATTGGAAACATTAGTCACAACATAAAAAAAAGTATCCACATCCGAATGCTTGTTAGAAAGAGCTACAAGTGCTAGTTGCAATTGATGAGCAAAAAAGTGAATACAAAATGCGGAGGGAGTATCTTGCAAAATCAAAGGCTTAAGACCATTTATTTTTTCTTGCATACTACTAGCTCCATCATAACCATGTACACATATCTTGGATGTACTTAAGTAATGATCCGAAAGCAAAGAATAAATTACTTTTTGTAATGATAAGGAAGAAGTATAACTCACGTGGAAAATACTCAGGAATCGCTCTATCACCATTCTACTTTTGTTGACATATCGGAAGATTAAGGCCATTTGCTCTTTATGTGAGATGTCTTTTGATTCATCAACTAAAATTGCAAAATAATCGCCATCCAAATCTTCAATGATAGCTTTAGTTGTTTCTTTAGCACAAGCCTACAGACTCTCTTTTTGAATTGTTGGACAAATCATCATATCTTTTTGTGGAGTATGACGTAATATTACTATTCCTACATCTAGATGCCGATCTCTATGCCATTCCAAAGGTTTAAGAAAGCCACCTTTATATTCAGATTCTTCACATCATGTCGACGAAATGGAAATCCCGATCTTAAAAGAAACCTTTCCGCATCAATTGAGGCAGTTAAGCGCATCCGATAATCACTTTTTACTTTTTCACTTTGCTTATCAAAAGAAGATTGAATCAATTGACGCTGATTTTTCAAATCTAGCATCCTATTAAAGCATGTATGATAGATACTATTAATATCATCAACATGTACTTTGAATATCTTCATACCCTTGTTCCAAACCCTGAAACCATCTTTTGTAAATGCATCCCCTATGTTTCCACGACTTTCAAGTTCATTCTTGAATAAATAACAACACAAACGAAATGTCACATCTCCTTTTATGCTATACTCCAACCATTGAGAATATGGTCCCTTAAACCAAGTGGGAATAAATTGAGGAATTATATTCCCAATATTAGTTTTAGGGAAGACTTGACCAATAGGTTGACAAGGTCCTCTTTTTATATAATATCTATATACTCCATCTCGAATATTAAGACCATAATCCGAAATTGGCATTCTTTATTTGGCATCCAGTTCAAGAGAATTCAAATAAAGCACTTTATCTACATTTGAAAGTAGGGAAGAATTTGTCACCCTTTGAACTTCTGGAGCTATTTGCAAACTCAGGGATGGCCGACTAACACTAGAACTTGGCTCACCATTTTTCGTCTTGGTGAGAAATCTATCCATTTCAATGTTAAGGATTATTGTTCATACAAAATTAAATATTTACACTTCTATTCAATCTATCTTAATTCAAATAGGATAGTTAACTCCAAATCAATCACAATAAAAAAATTATTACTTCACAAATAATATAAACATAACCAAGTATTAGAATGAATGTAACAATAGATCATGTAAAGTCTCCTGACAATCTGAAAATGCATAAATGTGTTGTTTATGGATGATATTATTTCATAATGGTGGAATTGTAGCCATTTCATAAGGTTCACTGTTTCCTAATGAAAGTTTCAAACTCTAGTTCTTAGCAAAAGTTCAAATCTTGTGTTATCTTGGTCCAAAACACCAATAATCTGTGAGAAATTAAGTTCACATAGACCCTACTTAACTAAACTTGATCAAGAATTTCCTCAAACACAATATGTGCACAAATTAATATTGCCAATATATGTCATTTTTCAAGACTTAAAAGCCCTAACTCTCTCAAATTCGCACAAAAGTAGCATTCAACATCCCCATTTAAGAAATAACAATCACAATGTCACGACGCAAAATCTCACCCGTCGTGATGGCGTCTATCTCGATACTAGGCAATCCAACAGCATCAATAACCCATAATTTCCTTTAAATACTAAAAATATAATAATTAAGTTTAAGAGTAAATCCCAGAAACATTAGGAATAAACATACTCCCAAAATCAGGTGTCAATAATTACATGAGCATCTATATATTACAAGTCTGAAAAGCATGTTTTATAATAGTCTAAGACCAAATACAGTAAACAAGAAGATAGGGAAGGATAGACAAGGTCTATGAAACATGGCAGCTACCTTTGAATTTTTGGAAAATCAATTGTGTGAAAGAATCAACACCCGCTATGTCTGGGGTCACCTGGATCTGCACACAAAGTGCAGGATGTAGTACGAGTACAACCAACTCAGTAAGTAACAATAATAAATAAGAACTGAAAGTAGTAACGAGCTTCACAGCTAAGTCCAAATACAATAATTTTCAATATAAAAGGGTAGGTATGCTCTCAGGTTCAATATTTAAAATTTCACAATAATTTCATATCAACTTTGAATGAAACGGCAGAAAATGTCTTTCAAAAATATTTCCAAAACAGTCATATATGACAGCTGAAATGCAGCAACAATGAAATCAATGCATCCTCTTAGAGTAACAGTCACTCAGTCCTCCCATTCACTCCAACCTCATAGTCACTCGTTCCTCACAATCACTCAGCACCCAACACTCGGCACTCACACTCAGTAGGTACCTGCGCTCATTAGGGGTGTGTACAAACTCCGGAGGGGATCCTTCAGCCCAAGCGCTATATCAAGCCAATCATGTCATATAACAATGAAACATGCTGGGACGTGCAGCCCGATCCCATACATATCCTCATAATTAAGCCATCGGCCTCACTCATTCATCAACCTCTTCAGTCTCTCGGGCTCAAGATGTCATGCATATCAGCCCTAAAATGGTAATATGATTCATCAATAAATAACAACAGAGACTAGGATATGATATGAAATAAATGAACATGACTAAGAGTGAAATTATAATTTGAACATATAATTCAACCACATAAATGGCCCCAGTGGTTACCAATAATAACAGCATATGTCTAAGCATGATTTTTAATACGAGTCTCACCTCAATTTTTCTCTAAGACGTAGAGAATGTACGGATATCAACAGATTATTCAACTATACAGTTCCATGGAATTTGACCAAGTCACAAATCCTACGATGCACGCCCACACGCCTGTCACCTAGTATGTGTGTCACCTCAAAACCATTCACATAACACATAATCCGGGGTTTCAAACCCTCAGGATCAAATTTAGAATGGTTACTTACCTCAAACCGTATAATTCTTTATTCCACTATGCCCTTGCCACGAGAATCGATCTCTGAAAGCCTCGTATCTAGGCAATTAATTCGATTTGGTCAATACCAATTATTATAATTAATTCCATAAGGAAATACTAATTTTCCAAAAAATATATGAAATTAACTCAAAACTTTCCCGTGGGGCCACGTCTCGAAACCCGACAAAAGTTATAAAATATGAACGCCCATCCAACCACGAGTTCAACCGTATAAATTTCTCCAAATTCCGACATCTATTCGACCCTCAAATCTTTAATTAAAGCCTTTGAAGATTTTTACCATTTTCAGCCCAATCTTTACCCATTTGAACTCAACAATCTTTCCATAAACCTTATTGATACGTATAAATAATACTCTTACACCCATAAATCATAGTTTTAATCACCCATCTTTACCCAAACTCAAAATTGAAGACTAGGGGTTAGAACCTTACCTCTTAGGTGAAGATATTGTGATATTTTATTGTTGGATTTCAAAGCTTGAACAAGATCTTGATGAACAAAGCACTTGAGCTTCTTCTTCTCTCTAGAACACTCTCCATTCTCTCTAAAAATGTCAGATTTTGGCTAAAAAATGAGCTTCAATGGCTATAAATCGAAGTTGGGTCAGGTAAATAATTAGAAAGAATGGAAGCCCCGACGCAGTTATGCGATCGCATAACACGTATGCGGTCCACATAACGGCCGCATAATTTGGCCTCCAAAACTTGGCGTGATTGACCCGGTATGCGGTCATTATACAGCCCGTAGACCTATTCTGCGATCGCATAATGCATCACAGAACGGGTCTGCGGTCGCATATTGCACCGCAGATTTTCCTCAAATCTTGCTTCACAACTGCTTCACTCTGCAGCCATTATGCCGTCCGCAGAGTGATTATGCGGTCGCATAATGGACAGCAGAAATGCATTTTTCTACCACAAATTTTCCTTTACTCCCTAGTGCATTGTTCAACCCAAAAGGGCCGAGCCGCGGCGAGCAAGCTCATCGCAAGAAATTCTATAATCTTTGTACTCATTTATCGACCTCAGCACCACAAAACCTTAATTTCCTTAGCAAAATATTCTCTGGGGTCGTTACATATAAGTCAAAATCCGGTCAACTATTCAACTTAAATTTTAAATCTTGGAACTAAGTGTTCCAAATCATTCAAAAACCTCACCGGACCCAGACCAGTTACCCCGGCAAGTCAAGTAACAATCATAATCATAATTTGAGCAGTAAATGGGGAAACGGGGTTTTAATACTCGAAACGACCGACCGGGTCATTACATTCTCCCCCTCTTAAACAAACGTTCGTCCTCAAACCGGTTTAGAATCATACATGGAGCTCAAATAGGTGTGGATAATTGCTCCGCTCAATCTCCCTAGTAGTCTCTCCGACTGGCTGGCCTCTCCAATGTACCTTCACTGACGTTATGTTCTTTGACCTTAGCTTTCAAACCTGGCGGTCTAAAATAGCCATCGGCTCCACATCATAAGTCAAATTACCGTGCAGTTGCACTTTATTGAAATTCAAAATATGAGACGGATCCCCGACATACTTTCTTTCGGAGCATGGATACATGGAACACTTGATGAACACCTGATAGACTAGGTGGTAAAGCAAGTTCATAAGCCACCTCCCTAATTTTCTTAAGTATCTCAATAGGCCCAATATACTGAGGGCTCAACTTGCCCTTCTTCCCGAACCTCAATACACCCTTCATTGGTGAAATTTTGAGCAGCACCTTCTCCCCAACCATGTAAGCAACATCACAGACCTTTCTGTCGGCATAACATTTCTGTCTAGACTGCGTCATGT